ATCTGTCGATCATTTTCTCAATTAATTGACTAGTTGTTTGGTTAAAAAAATTAAAGAAAATGGTAAAAAAAAAAAGTCCAATGTGATCCTCAAATGTCTTGTTTTGTCCACAACCCAATAATGAATAGAGAGGAGTAAAGAAACAAGAACATATTCACATTTGAGAAGAAATATTCACATTTTCTTAAGAATTGGGCAGTTAATTTCATTGTTGATAATCATTTCATCAGCATCAGTTGCTTCATTCATGCTTCACCACCAGTGGCTGCTTGGCTACCAGCTGACTAGTAAGTAAGTACTAGTAGTAATATACGGTCATATTAATATATAGATTAGCCTTTATAGCCTGACACTCCTCATTGTTAAGCTAGAGACACACAGTTGTCTGCATATTCCCATTCATTTAGTATGAGAATACCTTGCAAGGAACAGGGTGGAGGAGCTGGTGGTGCAAGCTGTTCAAAGTTCAAATAAATGAGCTGTCTCCTGGAAGGGGAGGGATAAATCGGCACAGCAACCATCACAGTTCATCAGATATGTATTGTTAAGTAAGAAGGTGTGATTAAGTAGGTGTAATTTACAGCACTCTGGTCACTGAAGTGAAACAGCAACAGTTGGACTGACAGCTCAGTAGACAGCTGAGTGAGGGAGGTGTTGGCGGTTCCTAGCAGCCTCACTGCATCATGTGTGACTGGAGGCAGTAAACTGTCATCAGCTGCTGAGCTGGGTCGGATGGATTCTTAAGCACCTTGCCTCATTATCACTTATATCACCTCTTCCTTAAGGGAACCCTTTTCTACCATTGTGTAAACTCTATGGATATTTCATATCATATTCAGTGCATACCAATAACAGTAGAGAACAGCTGATAAACTTTACAATGAACCCGAACAGTGAACTCAATAACTGCATTAAGAATTTTAAATTTTTAAAAAACCTATGTACTTAGGAGTAACTTAATAGGCTTCTTTTTTGAGAAATTCAGTGTTTTTCTCTTATTGTTCATTGTTCTAGGTTCTGTGAATATAGCTTCTGTTCAGGTCTTCCCCTTCCCTTATCCTGGGAGGTTTATAAATTCAGTTTATATCTTGACGAAATTAAACTTTTATTATTTATTTGTTATTTTTAGATTAGTATTTTTCTTCACAGAAATGAATTGCTGAGATACAGGCCTACTGTATTTTATTTTAATTCTTTTCACACTCCTTTGAATAAAGAAGGTCTTGCAAGCCCAAGTTGGGAATCAGCGACTTATATAACAGTAGAAACAGAATTTTATACGTTTATTTGAAATTTGAAAAATGAAAATTACAATGTAATCACATTGTAATTTTCAATCAATCAATCAATCGAACATACAAATGTTTTTCACTTGCAGCAATGAAATGTCATCCTGTCCTGAAGTTTTTCATTCAAAACTGAACAGATGTCTGTTAGGTCACTCTGTAGATGTTCCACAGACACAAACGTATGCGATGTTCAAAAGCTTAAAGTGTGTCACATTTCTGCTCCCTCTCGCCATATCTCAGGCATGATCTACCACAAACGCACTGAGCACTTTGAGGAGAAACCGTTTGCATGTGAGGACTGCGGAGCAAAGTTCGGCGCCAACTCATCTCTGAAGAACCACATGAGGCTGCACACGGGGGAGAAACCTTACCACTGCAAACACTGCGATATGAGCTTCAGTGTGGCTGCCGCACTCGCGTACCACACCAAGAAGAAACACTCAGAGGGTACACACAACCACACACACCTATTGTTTGTGTTGTTTACAGCATTGTTGGTGATCCAGCTTGTGTATTCTGCTGCTGATCCTCTTTTTCATTTTAAACACAATATACTTAAAATTGTTCATTTAAAATACAGATTGGTGTTAAACATTAACATGATACAACCGTAGAGTTATACATATTATTCCACTGAAAGTCGACATTGAATTATTGTGTTATGTTCCCCCTTCATAAAGTGGTAGGGAGTGGTAGTGGTTCGTAAAGGGACAATTGTTCACTTAACTGAATCTAAATGTTTGTTGGAGTTAGGGGTGAAAGATAATATCAATACACTAGTACCGCAATGTTTTTTGTTATGTATTGATTTTTGAAAACAGAGTTTGGTGGTGTGTTTTCTTAATATTAGTTTTATTTATTAAAAATAACAATATATCTCCTTGATTACAGTATTGCAAATTATTGCAGTGTATCACTGATGATGAGGCAATCTAAGCTTGCATTGAGCCATCAGGACTGAAACAATGTCTTGTCAGCTATGTCTTTACGTGTCCAGTCAGTTCATTCTGTGCAGTCCCACTTTGTCTTTTTGTGTTTAGGGAAGATGTATGTGTGTCAGTACTGTAAGGCCATCTTCGCCCAGTCCATTGAACTGACGCGTCACGTGCGGACACACACTGGTGATCGGCCTTATGTGTGTCGAGAGTGTGGCAAAGGCTACAGCCAGGCCAGCGGACTCACCGTCCACCTGCACACCTTCCACAGTAAGAGCACATCGTTTACTGTCATATTGAATAGAAAAGATCAACTTTAATAGACTTTAAACTTTTAATTTGTCCCTAAAATTCTTAATTTGACTTTTTAGGACTGTCAGGGGTTCTTAAGGGGGAAATAGCAGGTCAACAGTACATAACAAAATGTTATACATCATCTGAAAGCTGGGAACCTAAAGACGAATTTAATTTATATTTAAGCAGATGTTACACAGATTTGGTGCAAAATGTAACTGATTTTAACCACTTCAAAATACCACATTAATACACCAAGACCATAACACTATACCTGCCATTAACAAGATATTCTGTCATTTGAGATGGAATGCTTCCCCGTCATTGACGAGATATTCCAGCAGTCTGTGTTTTCACTGTTTTAGAATGAACAAAGTTAGAATACTTCTTCTATAATGTATAGGGTTAGGGTTAGGATATAAAAATAGTAATGTATTCACTTATTCATAGAGAATAATCTTGGAAGATTAGTGAATGTGATCTAAAATGCTGGCGCAGACTGGTTACTTCAAAATAATACTCGGCGGGGGCAAGTGTTCATGTGGTGTCTTAACTTTTAACATTTGGAGATTTCTGGAAGAATTGGATTGGTGATCAGATGGTAAGCACTTCTGTTCTGGAATATTCTTATAAACCCCATTATTGTCATTATACCTAGGACAGTCAAGTTTCACTACAATGAAATGGTTACTATTGGAACCAACATCATCACATGAATACAAATGAGATCAATAAATCTACAAGAGTCTCAGCTTTCCAGTTTAACCCAGTTTATGCAGTTCCAACACTATTTAGGAACCCGAACTGTAAGGGATTAGCATAAAGTGGGCATGCCTGTAAAGGGGAGGCTCGTGGATACCCATAGAACCCATTTTCATTCAGGTATCTTGAGTTCAAGAGGTCAAGCCAATTACTTTTCCCTTGCCAAGATTTACCCTAACTTTGGACCTTTTTTTTTTTACTCAATTCAATTTCAGTTTTATTTATATAGCACCAATTCAAAACAAACCTTTTTTCAGGACACGTTTCTTATAGAGCAGGTCTAGACCGTGCTCCTTATGAGTAGGCTCAGTGGACAGTTGCCTCAACTGTTTTTAGAGATGTTCTGCTTTCATATGGTTCCAGTAGCTTCACTTTAAACTCTAAAATGGAGTCCGCTGCAGCCTCTAAAAGACAGTGAGGTCTACCAAAGACCTAGAAGTCAACATTCAGTATTTTTATCATACCACTGTAACAGCAATAGAAACACATTGTAGTATGAATGATGCACTGATAGCAAGCTGACATAATAATAATGTCATTGTAATCATTAGTAATAATGATGTCATTGTAATAATGATGTCATTGTAATCATTAGTTATATTATTATTAAATATTAATGATGTAATTGCTGCTCCCTGTCAGATTTGTCGGAGCCTCATGACTGTCAGAAGTGTTGCCTCAGCTTCTCCTCGCTGGAGGAGCATCGCCAGCACATCCAGGAGTTCCACCCAAAGGAGTTCCACAAGTGTCCCACCTGCAACAAGGTGTTCACCAGCGCCGCCCTGCTGGACAAACACAAGGGCACACACGCCGGAACCAAGCCCTTCAGCTGCGACCTCTGTAACAAGTCTTACCAGGTAGGATGAGGTGGCTCCGCCTCACTGCTCTGAGGCGATGGTCAGTTCCTCAGTAGTGTGCTGTAGAATTTAAGTTTATTTCTTTCTCTGTTGCCGTAGCAACTCTCAGGTCTGTGGTACCATAACAGGACCAACCACCCCGATGTGTTTGCTAGCCACACCCGGCAGCTCAAGACCCTGGTCCAGTGTGATGTCTGCTTCAAGTTCTTTCCCAGTGCCGCCAGTGTGGCCAAACACCAGGCTGCAGAGCACCAAGGTGAGGATAGGTGGTCTCAAATGTGGCCTTCACCAGAAGGATTCGGCCCCTCAGACACATTTTGCTACATCTCAACTTCAGGGGATGTTTCAGGAATCTGCTGTAGATATGTAGAACGATTTTAACACCAGTGACATGACTTTGTAATGAACATACAACAGCGTGAGGAGCAGAGTAATGCAGTGCAGTGTTACATTCTCCACTGTGAGACTGTTGGAAAGCTCCTGCTGCTGGGATGACGTCTGAGGAGAAACCAACAATTTGATTAAACAGCACCATATCTCTTTCATTCAGACACACATTTAATCCCTCTGTGTTGTGTAACCAAAGGGGATTAGAGAGAGAGATTAAAGAGATTATATTCTATAGTTTTCCAAAAGCATTGGGCTTTTGCCGATAGTTCAAGATTAGACTTCTTTAAAAATCCCATTTTGCTTCATCCACCTTTTGGACACAATGTTAGCAATATTAGCAGTACAGCTGCTGATTTTGACCTTTATCAAGTTTAACAGCAGACTCAGTAAAGGAAGAAGCAGAAACATAGAATGTCTAAGATGGGCTGCTGCACAGAATAGGACATGCAGTGAATAATGACAAGCAGAACTCGGCTATTTTGATTCCAATAATGAGAGAATTAAAACTGAAATTAGGTAATCCATCACAGTGGAATTACATTATGGTTGCACTCACACCTGCAACATGAATTTTATTTTATATTTTATTTGTTGGACAGAACACAATTAAAAGTAATTGAACCGGAGTTACCGGTGCATCTGTTGTCTCTGGGTAGGTAGACAATTAAAGGACCAGTGTGTAGGATTTAGTGGCAACCCCATCGCCTTACCTTCCCGTACCAGGCACGTAGGAGGAACTATGGTGGCCGTGAAACACATGAAAGACTTTATGCCAGTATTTGGTTTGTCTGTTCTGGGCTACTGTAGGAACATGGTGGCCTGCGTAGAAGAGGACCCACTCCCTCTGTAGATAAAAACAGCTCATTCTAAAGTAACAAAACCACAACTATTCTTATTTTCAGGTGATTATACACTAATTAGTGCTGGGCGATATGGCTTAAAAATAAAACCCGATTTACGATTGTAATCGATTTTTTTGTAGACTGTTTTTGTTTTTTAGCGGGTGTTTGTGGG